ATTGCAATATTGATTGTTCGGATCATTGGTATCTAAGTCTTCCGCTGTGCTATTTTATACTTTGTATTGAAAGGTCGGTTCTTGTTCTGGTCTGCACCTATACGGTATGCAACACCTAGGCTGTAGGCTGTCGAGTGAGGGAAAACAGCAGTCTACAAAAGTGTCGAGGGCAAGGAAAAACGGGTTCTGTCTCGTCATTTTGTTCCACGAAGTGCTGCTGGAGGTTGCGTGGGGAGTGCAGCGCTATTTTGCTAGCGCAGGTCACCTTCCTCTTGGTGATGACTAGCGGCCATAGCTGGGACAGCCAGCATCAATGGCAGCAGCGCTGGGCATCAGGCCCTGAGCGCTGTAAGACGCTCCTTCTTGCCTGTGCTGTTGGGGATAGGCAGGGTCGCCACTGAAACCCTGCTTGCAAGTGTTTGTCGAAGTGGAAGCCATCCATCTCCTTCTTCAAGTTGGACTTCTTCTTCTACATCCAGGGAGCTACCCCCCCCTGTTGAGCAGACACTTCATCTGCAGTGGGCATCGAATTTGGACTGCTGAGTGACGTGTCGGGTTCAGCTGGGTTGGTGGCGATTGATGGGCTTGATAGGTTGGGTGCAAGCCTGCGCCATAGCTGTGAGCTCGAGGTTGGGAGGAAGAAGAAGTCTCCCTTACTTGAAGAAACTCTGTAAATAGTTGGTTCGCGGATGTTGATCACGTGGTAGGGATCCTTGGAATTTTGGCGCTGCTAATTGAACTATAGAGAGACGGTTTAGTTAGCATTGATTAATTTCAATTCTACTTTTGGTTTCGTGAGCTTCCACTGTGCATCCTCCTCATCTGGTGTGGTGTGGAGTTCTCTCTCCAAGTCGGCTTGTCATTGCACATGTCTATGGGAACGTGTGAATGCCATGCTGGATTCGTTTTCAATCAGGCACATAACATAGCGATCATAACAAAACACACACACACACACACACACACACACACACACACACACACACACACACACACACACACACACACATGGTACATGGGAGCTGAACTGTTCTGAGATGACAAAATCTGAGGTATCGACAGGCACACAATTGACTGCAAAGCAAACGCTGTGAAGCAATTCCAATTTTGTTTTAACACGTTTAGCTGCGAGATGTCATACCTGTGCGAGCAGATGACATGGAGGCAGTGCCATCAAGTCCAGGTCCAATGGATTCCATGCAGAAAGAAGGATCCTCCGATCATTCGGATTATGTCTTATTTTATGTATAACGTCGGCCAGCTGGTCCACTCCTTGACCTGTATAATCAGCATGCATGTCTGTGTACCTTTATCAAAGCCAAATTAGCAAATCCAAATGAAAAAGACAAAGGAAATAACACACCAACGGGCGAAGCTCAGTTCGTCCACCCCATGAACTGCTACAGGCCTGAGTTCGGATCCGAATGAATTAAATGAACGAAATCAAATATTTCCATTAGGAAATAAAAGAAGAAATAAGATCAAATAAAATACGCCAGAAAGGTGCAAAAAGTTAACCAGACGGACACTTGCCAGCATATATTGGAGCCAGTCATGACTGCAAGGACTTTCTTTCAAGAAAAAATAAAAAAGGACAACAGCATTGCATACTCAGAGTAGCCCCTGTCCTATTTTATAACTAGCAACCCTTCTCATAACCGCTAACCCCCCTCTCCTCCCCCTCACCTCCCTCCCTACACACAGCTACCAACCGGTAAGAGGCGAGAACTCGGTGACCCATCCCTCCCAGCCACTTCGACAACATTTACGTTCTGTTGCGGCTGGTCTGGTCTCCAATTGGGTTGGCGTATCCACATTGGCATCTGCCATTTCAGTAGGAACAACAGGAGAGGGGGGGGTCACTGTGTTTGGCTGTGTGGAGCGCTGATGCTGCCTGTAGTCGAAATTGGTGTTCCGGAAAGAGTGGCGGCCTATTGTGTGAGGTTGTGAGGAGGCCCTGGAGGGCCTGTGCACAGAATTAATATTCCGCAGTGCATGAGCAATTGCCCAGCGCACCACACGGCGAAACCAGTTCGAAAACCGTGTGACATGAGTGGGTAGTCGGCGCTGTCAGCCACGCACATATGCCGTCCAGCGGCCAGGACATTGGGAGGATGCCCCCCAACAAGCATACGTCATGTCATGGAAGTCACTGCAGCTTTGAAGTCAGTGGTGTGTGTGTGTGTTTCAGAAAGCCTCAAACTCTCTCTCTCATTCCATCCATAAATCATCACAAAGCATCCATAAAACAAAAAAAAGGTATAATACTAGATAGGCAATACAGTAGATGATGCAAGGTTGGCCAAGTTCGTGCGGCTAAGCGCCAAGTGTGTGTGTGTGTTTCAGACATTCCACCTTCTGTGACATCTGCTGCTGCAGCCAGCCTTCCCTTCTGGCTCCTCCATCCAGTCCTTCCCTGTGGGTACCTGCCCTGTGGGTACCGTCCCTGTAGGCACTTGAATTGGAATTTGGATTAACCCATGCAGACCGCTGCCCCGGTCTTCGCAGTATTGTCAGTATCACCAAGGACTGACAGCACAGATCCACAGTCTGAGATTTGAGTGGTGATGCCAAGGTTTAACAATGGTACCTTGCTCCAAAGTGTCTCCACTGAAATCCGTACACCGGCCCCAGATCACCTTCCTTTCTATGGCTTAGCCCAACCCTGCACAAGGAATGAGACACAGTTGAGAGGCATCATGGGGGTTACGGGCAGCTGGCCATCAAGCTGCAATCCTACTTGTTAGCCATTATTTGCAATCTATAGAAACCTTTTGGAACCGACAGACAATGGACAGACAATCGACAGCAAATCAACAGAATTGAGAGACGACTTCCAAAAGTGCATTGCAATCCGTAAACATCATTCGTCACCAGACAATGGACAGGCAATCGACAGACAGTCAACAGAAAATCGGCGGACAATCGACAACAAACAATCGACAAACAATTGATAAAAAATCGATAAACAATCGACAAGCAATCGACAGACAATTGACAGACAATGCACAGACAATGCACAGACAATTGATAGACATGTTTTCACTTTCAACATCGCCACGTAGTGCAACTCAATAAACACCATTCACAGTCATCCGACTTGTCTCCGCTTGAATTCCTGCTGTCTTGCAAACAATTCAATACACGAGCTGACATCAGACGTCTGGACAGAAGTGGCTGGTGGCCCCAGAGCTGTAGGTTGATAATTTGAGCTCGGGGGGACAAATCAAAACTGAAGGCCATTATACTCTGGATTACGTCGCATTAACAAATTTTGCGATACTCTTATGTTACAGATTCACGAGATCTGCAGTCTATTGTGATAGATTTACGATTGAACGACCAGTACCTCGTCGAGGTTGACTTAGGATTGAAAACAAGAGGTTCAGGGCTCTTCAGAGGAACAGTGCTACCAGACCAAAATGGCTGACAGCGCCAACCGAAAGAAAAGCAAGAAGGCCTCCGACGCGGTTTTTTTTTGGCAAGCAAGGAGAATCAGCCTCGGCAAAAAGAGGCTCGGAGGTACTTGCGGTTTAAATCACCAGTTTCTCGGAGCCATTTTTTACTGACGTGAAGTTCTGTGGTGTGCCAAAAGAAACACATACTGGTGTGGGTGCGAAATACTTTGCCAAACTTTTCTTTCCAGTAGCGCACAAGCCCCTGCTAATGCACTGGGTTAACGGCCGCATCCAACCAAAATACCTGGGAATGGTACATGTGGTTTAAAAAGGGCGAGTCAACAGCCTCCTAACTCTGCAAAATCCATGGTCATACCGGCTTCTGTAACAAAAAACTTAAACTATTGGAAGTTTGTTATGCTACCGCACTTCCTCCCCCCCCCCCCCCCCCCCCCCCCCCCCCCCCCCCCCAAAAAAAAAAAAAAAAAAAAAAAAAAACTTCGTCAGCAATGAGAACTGTGGAGAATGAATAACAAACCCAAAGAAGCTAGCAGATGGACAGGCCCGCACCTGTCCAGAAAATCGCGCGATGCATTGTCATCCCAGATATGCACTCCCTTTTCTTGAAGGACCTGGGAGCAAAAAGAAAAACATAAATAACAAACTACATCAACCCAGGTGAGCGATTCACTAGAGACTACAGAGAGATTTTCCAGATTATGTCAGCAAAAGGTAGGGGGAAAATGTTCAAAAAACACGAGGCCTAGCCAAGGCACCCATGTTGTCTAAGCGTGCGGTGTGTCAAACTATGCATTTTGCTAACTTGCCAGGCGACTGACGCTCGCCAGTGGCCAGGACTTGGATTATTATGTATCGACGGTTCGGCGTTGAGCGTGTCGAACTATACATTTTGCTAACTTGCCGGGGAGAAGGCATCAGACTGACGCTCCCCAATGGATCGGGAGCCAGGACTTGGATTATTACGTATCATTCGGGGACTCTGCAGATTGTAGAGGCTTCAGCCTTCAGCCTCCTGATGAGTCGGAGAAACACCAAGGAAACAGTTTGTCACAGCCACTTGTTTGTTGTCCTCTTCTCCCTCTCTGCCTACGGTTCATGAGGCAGTTTTCTATGACGATATGGATATACATATTGTCACATAACTATGAACTAAAAGAGCGCACTTTGCGAAAGAAACGGTAAAGATTAAAAACAAGACAAAGGTGAGGGGCACACTGAAACCATTCATTTTCGTCATTCTTCTTTTCACTCCCCTTTCGTCGTGCCTCTCACATACAAGGCTCACCATGTTGATGAAGTTGAGTGTGAGCTTCCCGCATCCCCGTGTGCCATAACGGCCCACTTGTACGCTGTGAGAAAGAGAAAGAGTAAAGGGGGAGGTCATAAACACAGGGAAGAGAGAGGAAGAAAAGACAAACAAAGAATGAAAAAGGGAAAGTAAGAATAAGAAAAGGCTCAAGAATGAGTCCGTCCTTGACAACAGAGAGGACACACAGGTGGATGGACACATGGAAGACCTAACTGAGCATTCTCACCAAACCAATTGCCGCGACGGCTGGCATTTAGCATGCCCAACATACACTCCCAACAAATGGCACGTCGATTGCACACCCAAATGAAGGAAGAACGCTCACTATAAAAGACCATGCATTCAGTATAGCGCCCATGGCGACAAAATGGACATATAGTGTCTGGATGCGGAGGGTGCCTGCAATCAGGAACGGAGGGACAGTCCTCTACACACATAGATGCAGAAACCATGTCATTATAGTGGTTGTGACAAAGACGATGGCAGCTACAGCCGAGTGTAACAGTGTCTGAAGCTGTGCAAAGGAGAAGGTCGCAGAGCGTTGGTACATTGTCCTGCTGCAGCACGGGGCCAGAGGAATGATCTTCGACACAAAAGAAATTGCGGACTGTTTGGTGGCAAGAAAACAGCATCATTATGTAAGAAATCAGTAACATCAGGCATGGCATGGACCATGATGCCGTTGTCCCACAACTCCCAGTGGTCAGAGGTACGTACAATGGCCATGTAATGGTCAGGTCCGTGCACAGTGTAGGCAGAGATGTGGCATGGCGGATTAAACCACTCACCTGCTCGAGCATTGCGTAGCTCAAGTTGGTGGTCCCTCATTGCTCCTTGTAGGACAGCAATGGTAAAGCCTCTTTCCCTGGTATAATTACAATCCTCTGGCTGTAGGCAGGGGAGATCAGCATCAAGCTGAAGGGCGGTTGCAAGGAAGTCTGATGGTGTATTAAATGGGCGGTGGAGAATGTGAAGACAGATATTAGCTCCAGTCAGACCACAGAGATTGGTGAGGATCTCAGGCTCGTGTGCTGGATGCTTGCCAACAATTTGCGGATCACCCACATGGTTTTGCAATCCCAAAATGTCTTGGGTTGCTTGCGGGTCAGTCATTTGCAGATCACCCATGTGGTCTGCGCGTGGTGGGGCACAAATTTGTGGTTCATCCAAACGATGCTGGTCAGCCATTTGCAGACCCCCCGTGTGGTCGACGCCTTGTGGGGTTAACTGCAATACGGGCAGATCATGTTCCAATCCCTCAACGTTGGGGCCGCATCCTGAGCAAGGACTGTCCCTGGAATCGGGAGTGTACTCTGGGCAGGGAACACATCCTGTTGTACAGGTGAGTCATGAATATCTAATGCTGAAGGGCATAAAACATGGTGCTGTGGCTGCCTGCAGGCAGCTGGACTGTCTACAGGAGGCATAGGAGCGGATATTGCCGTTTGGAACAAAGGAACTGCAACAACCTTTGAAGCAGGCACGGAGAGAATTGGGGCTGACAAAGAAAGGCTGCTGATCCCCGGACAAGTGACGATGGCGCGCATGTCGTCAACGATACACAATAAGAGGAGTGGTGGTGTTGCAAACAGAAGATGAACACATCCCTGGGAACAAAGACAATGGAAACCAGAGAGTATGTTGGCAAACCAGACCGTGGAGGAGATGGGGATGGAGAGGAGGAACGCACCCGTCTGCGGCCAAGCACAAAAAGAGATGAAAGGGGGGTGGATAGGGCAAGATTTCGAAACAAAGGGAGGTTAGTGTACATTGTGGTAAAATCAACAGAGTGAGGAGAGAGGCCAAGAAGAGACGATCCATTGTTTTTTTTCAGGTCAATCGCCACTTCATCGGCACTCTGAACAATCCAGCACCATCGAACACCAGCCTGTTGATAGAGCTCAGTATCTTTCTCAAAAAGACGATATATACATATATATATATAAGTAGGCCTATCTCTCATGGGTGTTTGGATAGCTTATGATGGGCTGCAGTCTGTAGAGTTGACCGTCTGGCATGGGAGAGTGCTAGTCTGCTTCGATTTTCATCACAGGTACCTTGAGGTTAGTGGATGGTGCCCACCTCAGGGTATCTGTTCTCCAGCAGTCGTCGATGCTTAACGGTAACCGTGGTTAAGGTGGATTATCACTTTCAGTATCATCAGTTAGGGGACTCTGCAGACTGTAGAGGGTTCAGCCTCCCGTTCAGTCGGTGGAACTCCGTTTTAAACAGTCTGTCACAGCTCCTCCTTTGGTGTCCTCTTCTCCCTCTCTATCTATGCTTTCTTCAAACTTATATAAATGATACGCTTGAATTCTCCGATTATGAAATGAAAGGTTCGTTTGATTTGATATAGGAACTTTATGACATTATGAGTAAATGTTGGCACACAGCGGCCACACCCGCGGCACACCTCTTCCCGCTGCCCGTCTCGTGGCAGGTCTCAGGAACAGGACAGGGAGGACAATCCTCTCTCTCTCTCTCTCTCTCTCTCTCTCTCTCTCTCTCTCTCTCTCTCTCTCTCTCTCTCTCTCTCTCTCTCTCTCTCTCTCTCTCTCTCTCTCCCCCCCCCAGGCAGCGGTCAGGATGATGATCAATCTGCACGTTCTGTCCACCGATTGTAGCTGTATTTGGCGCAACTTTCAGTCTAGATACAGATATCATGACCGTACGTGCCTCCTCCTCCTCCTCCGCTTCCTCACCTCCTCCTCCTCATCATTGTCCCCCTCCTCCTCCCGCTCCCAGTCCTCATTCAGCTCCCGCTCCTCCTGTTATCCCTGCTCCTCCTCCTGCCCCCAGCAGGACAGGAGGCCGGTCATCCCACACCTCGTCCTCCCCGTCCTGCTCCTCCCACTCATCGCACTGCTCATCTTCGTCACGTTCCACTGTCTGCCACTGCTCCCGTTGCCGTCCTCCTCCCACTCATTGTTCCACCCTGCTCCCCCCTACTCCCGCTCCTCCTGGCGCCCGTCCTCCCTGCCACTTCAAACGCGGTTCTTCCACCAGAACATTGCTCCACCCGCTCCTGCCACAGCGGTCCACCGAAAGAAAACGAAACAATGCGACGCAGCCCAAAAAAAATGCAGAAGCTTCCCCATGCACGCCGCGAAACAACGACAACCAAAAAAAAAAAAGGGAACCGCACCAGATGCATCAAAATCCCGGGCAACTCCCAAAGTCCCTCGCGCCCCTCAGGTACCAACTACCCTCCGTTTTTCTTGGGGCCGCAGCGAGCGTGACGCGAGTTCCACTTTTACTTTTAGTAGGATTTGGGATAATAACATTACAGGAGAGAAGGGATTTGAACACCTGACATGCAAATTATGATTCTGCTGTTCTAACCTACTAAACTACCCTGCCTTCAAAACCACTTTACATTTCCCCAGTATAATCAGAAAATATATATACATATTATACATATAAATAAAATTAATAAATATGAAGTATAAAGATGACAAACCAATGACTACGTTAGCCTCCCAAATAAACAAAAAAGATAGAGTAAGTACAGAGAAGACGTTTAGTGGGCAAACGACTCTGGAAATAAAGATAAAGAGTACATAAATAGTCCAGGATCTTGAATTAGTGGGCCCTCTCTCTTTCTTAGTCTCTCAAGACTTGTAATGGAATCAAATAGTCTGCGTGAAGATACTCAACCGACTAACTGACGTCGTTTGATTTTTTATTTATTAACTTAGATCGGGAAGTGTTTGTTATCGAAGAAAGAATGACCAACGACTAGCCACAAAGTGGCACGCTAGTGCCTACGGTTTACCGGGCAGCTCTGTTTGACCGTATATATTGTTATATACGATCAACTATACAGTATATATCAAAAGAAAGGCCATGTTGTCTGGGCAACGCCCCCACTGCTTTGCAATTGGTGGCTGCAGGACGACAGGGAATGACACACGCTGTCCATGTGGGTGGGTGAATGGTACACACATAATAGAACTGTCAATAAACAGATCATGAGTTCAAATCCTGACAGAATCAAATGGATACATAGGGCTCACAGGCCAGTTTTGAAACCCGAGATCTGTCCGAGAACAAGGTAAGCATGGGTTGTTTCTTTTTTCCTTGCTGATTTTCATGTTCGCTGCTGGGCGGATTAGAACCTCCTACCTCTCAGTAAAGCACCTGTTAGCTGACTAAAGAGACATATGACCTAGACGTTTATCATTCTATGCTAGGTTACCCGATCGGACGTCCGCGACCCCCCTGACCTTCAGGGGTTGTCCGCTCGGACAACCGGTCCGACATCCTCCCCGGGCAGTCTGTCCGAGCCCAAACACCAAAAAACAAAACAAAAAAAAAAAGTCCTCAAAAAAATCTGAAAAAATGCTATGTTATGCAAAAAAACAAACTGAACAACTTTTGCCTTCGGATGATATCGAGATTCGTCGTTTAATTTAAAATAAAAAAATAAAATAAAAGACACCCCCAAATGTTTTTGCTTTTTTTCGTGATTTTAATTGCTAAAAATGGAGTTGTCCCGGCCCGGACGCCCGGGACCCCCCTGACTGTCCGCCCAGGACGTCCTGCCATCGGACAACTGGTAACATAGATTCTATGTAGATTGGTTTAGTCTAGGACTCCGTACAGGAGCCAGTAGGCCCAGAGGCAGAAGCAATTCGCCAAAACCATCAAGGTAGCGGCAAACTTCACTTTAGTTTCCATTTGTAAGATTTCCCAAACGATGGGACGAGGGCGCAGTGCTATTTTTAGTGGCTGAAAGGAGAGAGAGTCTGGGCACAGTCATAGACAGTATGTTACCGCTGTATACGGTGTTGTTTTCAGAGCTACTTGTTGCAGGCTACTGCTCTGGGCAGCCAGGCGCCCAAGGCGACATCATGTTTTCTCCTTTTCATCGAGCATGCTGGTTTGGTTCTCCAACACAAAGTTAGGTGTGAAGTTTTCCATCACTCCAGATTTTCTTCCAATCCAGTTATCATGAGTGATGATTGCTGGAAATTGTTTCAAGTTTCGAAAACCTCAACACTGCCCCCAATTCCAAAAACAGAATTAAATAAACGACGAGGGGGAAGGGGGCAAGGGGAGGGAAGTGAGACGGATAATTGCATCTATAAGCTTTACCGGACAAGTTTGGCATTTATATCCTTCACCATTAAAGAAGCATTTGATGCCACCTTTCGATGCCAGCTTCTTTTTCTTGGCCGCCTCTCTCTCTCTCTCTCTCTCTCTCACACACACACACACATGGAGAAAAGCATCGCACTGGGCTCTTTCTTGTAAGGGGCACCAAACCCTCTCTCTCTCTCTCTCTCTCTCTCTCTCTCTCTCTCTCTCTCTCTCTCCATCTCATGGAGATAAGCGTCGCACTGGGCTCTTTCTTGTAAGGGCCACCAAACTCTCTCTCTCTCTCTCTCTCTCTCTCTCTCTCTCTCTCTCTCTCTCTCTCTCTCTC